ATCTAATGCTTAAGACTGAAATAACACCAGTGCTACACAAAGTCCAAAGATCTAAGGAGACAATACTTTTAAACTTCATGTTTTATGCCAACATTATCCTGATAACAAAATCTGGAAAAGAGAATATTTATTAAAAAGTAAAAAAACTGTGGACCACTGTTTCTCATGAATATAAATGGAACAATTCTAACCAACATTCAATAAATAAAATCCAGTGAAAAATTGTTAGTCAATATTTTCCAAATGACTTATATGTTATATTTATTTCAGTTACCTAATTTAAAAAAGTATAAAACTGTTTTCTCCATGCTCCATTTAAATATCCTTCAGCTTACTCTATTATGGTAAATAAATAATATCACTTTCTACATACACCATTAAACAATAAGGAATTGTAGCCTCGTATATGAGTAACATATTAATATTCACAACTAGATACTCAGGTGAAGACAGACTACAAAGACACCCCTTGCTGCTGCTGAGTTAACTATTTAAGATATCTTCTCTAGACTTCACAACTGCTATATATGCAATGGGTAACGATTGGATATAAGTTCTGTAATTTCATCTGACCATGTATCCCCTAGGGATCATTCCCTAATGTTTTGTGCTTTAATTGCCTACTGCAGAGCTTTTGGACACACAGTAGAAACTAATTTCATATATCTTATACTTCTAAAACTTACATTTTTCATGGCATATAGAATCTAAATATGGATAGGTACACTTTTATAAATATGGGATAGTTACACTTTCCATTTAAATGTAGCACCAATCTATTGTTTTGAACTCAAAATAACAGTGTGAATAACTGGCAAAAATATCCCACATTCACTTAAGATTTAAAAAAAAATATTTGGTTCTCTCTCTCTCTCTCCTTCTCTCTCTCTCTCTCTCTCTGGTGTTATTCTATGAAGCCAACTCAAAGTATTCTGTATTTGAAGAATCTGATTTATTGATTGGGGGTAAGATGGATGAGTCACAAAATTTGGAAATACTACACGTGGGTAATTCTTACTACAATGCCTTTTGTTTGGGGGATTTATATGGATCTAGTTACTTCTCTTACCTCAGCTGGAGTTTCCTCATCTCCAGGAAAGAGTTTTCAGTAAATATTTATTGCTTCTCCCTCCCCTGCTTAACCTTCTTGTGGCTTTGTAATCTTGCATTACTTGCACAGAGAAAAATAAAATATATAGAAAAACCTGCAATAGTTATTATGAACATATACATAGGTTTGTGTGTATATATGTATATGAATGTACACGTATATAACTATATACATTTATATATTAAAGGTGAGTTTATATGTTGGCTTGTATGCCTTGTGGCCTACTAATGAAGAATAGTAAATGCCACAAGGGAGAATCTATGTTACATGAAATACCAATACATTCCTCAAGTTTTCTAAGGAAAATGTAGGATTAATATTTTCCTGTCTGTGAGATGTAGCTTTGAGATGTGCTGCCTGCCTTATTCTGCCTCAGATGACCCTAGCTCTCTCCTTTTTTGGTCAGACTTTTTACAGAATTCCAGAGTTTTCAGAAGTCACTCATATTTGCAGAGCAGAATTCCAATTATAATCAGAAATTGGGAAGTAGATCTTTTGCAAATGGGAAGACGGTCAAAGTGATGGAGAGGAGAAAGAAAGTGGGAAGAAGGTTTGTGAAAGATGTGTTACGTACATTGATCATTTACCCATAAAAAATGAAACCACTATGTGCTGTAAAAATGTACGAATAAAAATAAAAGTTAAAAATATATATGAATAGGTCCTTGGTGACATGCAACTTTCCCTACTCCCCACCTTTCTTCCCTGACTTATGATGAAAGTGATTTTGTCAATGATCTGTCTCACTGAGGTTTTATTATTTTTATATCCCTACAAGACTAATACAGAGGTGTAGTCCTTTCCACATTATCAGTGCTCAAGAAATATTTGTAAAGCTGGCACATCTCCCTCAGTTTTACTAGAAAGAAGAGTCTCAGCTACAAACTGGAAAACCTATGAGGGGCACAGAAGTAGAATTCAGCTACTCTGGAAGAAATTGTGGGGAAAAAAACTGAATATTTTTACTTTGTGTGTTATATCTAGGTAAGCACATGATGCAGTACCATATAAATGAGTGTTATTTGTCAAGTGTGTGATGGAAGGAAAGAGATTGATAATAACCATATCAGAACACAGCACAAAAAGACATCTGATAAATACAAGCAATTCAGTTCAAATAGCTAATGAAGGGGAAGAAGGAACCACTTAATCTGGATATATTGTTTTTTTTTTTTTTTTACAGATTCCATTGAAATAAAAGCTGAAGGGTTTTGAATGAGCATGGAGAATGATTCCCTTAAAACCCACTATTAGCTTTCTTTTAGCTCCAATATATGTGTGAATCAGTATGGTGCCTACGCTACTGTCTTCAGTGTCAAGCAGTTTAATTTTCTGTGTCACCTGAACATATAAATAATAGTCTTGAGATTTTTATCAATGTCTTTACCTACAAACTTGGGCTATTGTTAATTTATTGTTTTCCATTTTTCTCTATCATTAATTTTTCACTTTTCTCTAAATCACTTGCAGAAATTAATGGTGAATAACTAAAACAATCTTCAGATAAATGTTATCTACACAGGAGGTATTTATTGAGATGATATTTTGTTGTAAAAGTGGTAACAATCATAACCACAGTGACAATGACTGTGTGCCCATTTTTATGATTATATTGTGATAATATATAAAATATGTTGTATCATCTTTTCTGAGGTTAGGATAGCACCTCTTGAAAACCTTCAAACGACTTGCTAGATAATGTTATTCCCACAAATTCCTTTAGAGCAAAGTGCTATGAGCAAATGGGAAACATAAATGTTTAGAGGAAATCACCTGCAGAGGTAGTGTCTGAAGAATATCTTTTCTGCGTTGCCCATGTCCACCCTGGCAGGAGACAATTATTTTATTTTATTGTTTTATTATTTTATTAGTATATGTTCGCAATACATAGTATTCACAGTCCTTGAGGCAAGTTAGCATTTGTGCATAACATATCTTGATTATTTCTTTGATCTCTTTTCCCTCTCCTCCCTTCATTCTCCCTCCATCTCTTGATCCCATTCCCCTGTGAGAAATCTCTATATCCCTACTTCCTATTATCTACCTCTATTTTGTACTTTATTTATAACTTGGTTTTCTCATAAAAAGAGACTGTGTACTATTTAAGCTTGTGTATCTAACTTATTTTTTTCATTTACCATATTGGTTTCAAAATGCATTCATTAAAAAATGCATCCATTTTTCTCTAAATGACTTAGATTTATCTCTGTAGCAAAGTAATACTCCATTATGTGTGTAACAAATGCCTGTATGGGAGGATATCTACATTGTTTGAGGGAATGTAAACTATAACAACCACCATGGAAATCACTGTGGATATTTCTCAAAATGCTACCACTAGAAATTCCATTTGTCCTGGCCATATATATTGTCCCGAAGGATTTAAAGACATCTTATTACAGTGATACATGCATACTCAGGTTTTCAGCAGCACAATTCATAATAACTAAATCTTAGAAGTGACCTATACGTAAAGTGAAGGAAAATTTAGTGGCTGCAATTCAGGTTTATTCCTTTGCTTATTAAAACTAATTGGAAAGATCATTACCAAGTCAAGAGAGCAACAAGGAAAAGTCAAAGGATTGGGACTCCAAGCTGAAAGAGCAGGGGAACTTTTCTCTGAGCAGGGAACAAACTCAGTTTTTTCAAGACATTTATGTTAACAACTTGCTTTCTCCAGTGCTCTCTTGTAAGAACTACCAAGCTATTATTCTTTTTTACCACTCTTTTGAGGTGGTAAGCTTCCTAGCTTTAAAGCATAGAAAGCATTTGATCACAGAGGCAACTAGAAGTCGTTTATAATCAATTTTTTCAGTGTTTATTTTTTATTACTACATGCTTGTAATACATAGTGATCACATTCCTCATGGGAAGTTGGTACATGTGTACAACACATCTTCTTTTCTCATCCCCTTTTCCTTGGCCTACCACCCCAACCCTTCATCTCTTTAACTTCTCAATCTCAAACCTTGTTCCAGTTTTTGTGCTTCTTGACTCTTAAAATTCTTGCTAGAGACAATAGGCACCATGGTTTCCTTTATCATTATGCATTTTTCTGACATTTCATTATGCCACTTAATAATATTTGAAATTTCTCTAGTATTATATGAAGCAGTATGCATGGTATGTTCATCGTTGCCCCTGACTAAAATGTCTGTGTCTAAGAATTATCAATACAGAAATCAGTACAGATATCAGCAAAGATTTATATTCAAAATGCTCACCAGAATATTGTTTATTTAAAGACAGTATATATGTTTAATGATGAAAATGAAATAATAACGACTAGAAGAAAAACGATGAACTTCTACAACTATGAACTCCTGTGTAGAAATTAAAATAACTAATGTAGGAACTCATAGAATGTCATGAAAAGGGAGATCATGTTTTTTCTAAGGATTAAAGAAGTAATAACACCTAAATGTTAGAAGATTTATCAGTTATTCTAGTTAGCAGTTATTAACACAACTTTAATCAGAAAACTTAACAAACCAATTATGTTTGAAGATTAAATGAAATGGGAATGGCTAGTAATAAGTGAATAGAAAACTAGAAAAATGCAGAATTTAGAAATAACTATTACATTGTGGACTGAACATAAAAATTAGACCTCACTGGGAATACCTCAACCTGATTGGAAAGCTCACAGTTGTGGCCCATCGGGTGACAGAGACATTACTATGATATGACGCTGGTGCAAGTTTCTGAACATAGGTCCTTTGAACTTCATGACTATTTCCTCCTAGGCTTCCATAGCCAGCTTCTAATAGGGAGATGGAGGCACTGTACCTCAAAACCTCTTGATGGGGTTGTCAGGAAAGTTGCCAGATGCCCTGTATTGTTGAAGTCAGCTATAGGAGGTTTTTTTTTTTTTTTTTTTTAATTGCAGCTATAGGAAGCTGAGAACTGTTCTCAAGAAGCCCTGAGAACAGTTGGAAGAACCATGAATGCTGAAGAAACTGCACGTACTGCAGAGCTCGGTACTGAGAAGGCCATACACTAACAACAGGAGATGCACTGGCTCACCAAGATACCTCGCAGCAAGCACACTAGAAGCACGAAGTAAAACCGTTCTTTTCCAGTGTTCTTCCAGTACTGCTGCTGAAGCTCGATAGTGTGTCACTGGTAAAGGCAATTCTATCTAAAGGGCCCAGATCTGCTGCCACCAGTCAGGTGAAAAGGGTGAAATTAGAACGAAGAAGCAATATACAAAGATTGGCAGAATGTGTATATACAAATGCTGACAATGGGTTTCTGGATAGGAAGTTAGGGGTTAATTTGACATTATTCTTTAAGATTTGCCATATTTCTACAATGTGAATATAAAATAAATGCAAAATTTCCTCTGTAAATGAAACCTACCAACTTCATAGTAGCTTTAATATCCATTCATGCATAAACTACTTTTAACTGAAGCATAAAGCAAAAGCACAAGTATAGTATACACGCCGTATATTTAACATTTCATTTGGATCCTATTGGCTCTTTCACTATATAATCACTTACTTTTTTAAGAAAAAATTACTTTGTAAGTCATTATAGCATGCTATTTATTTTACTTATTTTTTTTAAAATGTAGTTACTAATGTGTTTTAATATTTTCTGAATAATAATATCAAGCTGTGAGTACTTTGGACCTGAGTGTAATTACTACTGACAGTGTTTTGGTTTCCCAACATTTCCTGAGTCATTTTGGTAACTATTACCTGCTTGATTACAAAAGAAATACTAGGCACACAATTGATCATCATTTTTGCAAGAAGACTAAATGTTTGGTTTGTTCTTGCAATCCATGTATTGCCTTTACCCTTGCTTGTATCTTCCATGTATTTCATATCTATAACCTCCTGAATTCAGAGAAAAACAGGATCAGAAAACAGGATAGTGACTTTAAAATTCATTATAGAGCTTTCATTTTCAAGTAAGCAGCATCCATTGGATTTAAATATTGTTACCACTTTTGTCTACACAGGACTTGAAGATTCACACAGAACTGCAATCAGCTGGAGCTCAATTAAAGCTTGAATGTGATAATGGTATGCTGACCAACAAAGATACTATCCTTTTCACGTGATTGAGTCAGAGGGAATGACCATGCTGTGGGGACATTTTAAGGTCTTACACATAAAACTACATCTCTCACAAGAACTCAAATATAATTAGAAATTTTTTTTCTTTATAGAAGGTATTGATTCTCACCTTCCTTCCTGTATTTTATTAAACTCCATCTATTTTAAATGTGGTTACAAGAATAGTTTGTGCCTTATTTTTTCCTCATTTATGCTTCCTTCTTTCATTCCATCTTGTCAAAAAAAAATCAAGGCAAAAGCCTCAGGCTATTTTTAAAAAATCCTCAACTGTAGCATTGCATGCTATCTTCTGTTATGATGGACACAAAATCTAATAATTCACCACTGAATCTGTAAGAAAATAGGGCATTCTGAAAACCACTTTTTATTTTATTATCACTTGTTATTATCTTTTTATTCCCAAATTATGTATTTAAGTCTAAAGAAGAGATATAATGTCTCTCTTCTAAATTATTCCATCACAACTACAAGTCCCCAAAACTGTAGGAGATGCCTTGGTAATTTTCTACTTAAAATTTCAGGAGACCTATGCTTCCATGATTCCCATTGACCTTTGGCAAATGGCTCTGTACCTCCATCAAGCCTAGTGAATGCAGCAACTAATGCACGGAAGTTAGCAGCAGAACAAAGGGTTGAGACTAAGAATAGCCTTGAAGTAAAGGCATATTTGTGTACCCATCGTAGGGAAAATGGCTACTGCATCTCTTCTTAAATCCTTTAGAAAATACAGTAAATATATATGAATTTACCTAGAATTTTGATTTAAATAAAAATAAAAATGATAAAACAGCATCCAAATAAAGAACACCTAATTCAGTCCTTAGTTTTTCTAAAGTAACAACATCACTGTAGTCTATTTGCACTTATTTTCCAGCACCTAATCTTACTATCACATGTGAGTTGCTGTCCCAACCCTTTTTCCCCATCCAGTCAGCAACGTTTCCTTATCTTTATATTACTTTGCTATCACTGTATTATAATATTTTACTTTATCAATTTCCTCGTTCTTTAGAATATGAATTCCTTGAATCCAGAAAGTCTGTTCCATTGTTTGAATCCTCAAGTTTAGGCCAGTCAATTTTCCAGAAGCAAACATCAACAGTCTGTTCTTTCTGAGACAGTGTGTGTACCATGTACAATGTGGTTAACTAAATAAATATGGTTCTTCAGCTCACAGAGTTGAGAGTATGGTGAAACACATGATCAATGTACAAGTAAGCCTATCAAAGAAAAATGCAAATGCATGTAATTTCTGTAACATAAGACAGGAGTGTTTTACAACATATCGTAACATGGAAAAATAAAGTGAGGTCTTTGTGGAGGATACTACAGAACACAGAATGCTTAGCAGAGCACCCAGGCAGAGAGAAGAGTACCAGAGAAGATTCTGCATCCAGAGAATTAGGCAAGAACTAATAGAGAATTAAAAGGACAGTTCACTTAGTGGTCTGGAAATGAAGTTTATAAGACCATGATGGAAGCTTGGGTCATGATCTCAGTCTCCAAGTTTACATAGAGCAAGGACATTTAGGAGTTGGAAAGTTGCTGACTTCTAACTCTTCTATATCATTCTTCTTACATCTATTCTTTGTTCTTTCACCCAAGTCAGACTTGCTCATTAATCATGGCATTCTTCCCCACTAAGGCTAGACAGAGCTTTAAATTTTTCTTAACACTTATATTAATAAAGAATGCTTCTGGAAGCCATCAGCAATCACTCCATAAAGGACCTCTTACCCTTCCTAATTTAAGGAATAAGTATAATTTTTATCTGATGAACAAAAGATGGATAATTGTTTAGGGAGTCAAGAGCTAATAAATACTGAGATAATGTAAATATGAAATCTGGCTTATTGTGAGTGCTGAGTTTTCAGAAGCCATGATAAAAGCAATAGAAGCAAAGGAAATAATGGGGGAAACAGATGTGCTATCCTAGTAATTTATGGAGGTTTGCAATTAAGACTACTTCTAATTGTGAGGAAAATAACCAACTGGGAAGCCTTAATCACCTTTTAATAGTTTCAAAGTTTTCACTTGACACATCAGCTACTGTAATATCAAAACTATATGGAAAGTAGTATCCTTACACTAAAGAGGAGATCATTTGTGAGTGCACATAGCTAACGAATTAGCATCTTTTTGTAACCCAAGCATACTTTAAAATGTTTCATAAGTGAGCTCTGCTAACTTGACACTTTAGTCTATGAACTGTGAGTAAAAGCTAAAACAACCAAAGTCAACGAGTTCAAAATATTTATTGTTTCCATATTTGCATTGGGTTAATCATGCATTTTTGGTATAAAATAGTAGCATGTGTAATTTAGTAAACATTAAACTAAGTAATCTAAGTAACATTAAACTAAGTAATCATAAGTAATCTAATGCATTATTGAGATTGAAAAAAATCAAACAATAAGAAATCAAAAGTATTAAAAAGCTTTAGTCCTTATCATGACATGTATTGCACTACATCTTGAAAATCTTTTTGAATCTACGTTTATGTATAAAGATGTAAACACAGAATATACTCATGCAATGAGTTGAAACTTTGCTGACTTAAATTCTTTTTTTTTTTTTTGTCTTTTTCCTTTTTATCGGTACCAGGGATCGAACTCACAACTGCCTCCTTGCAAGGCAGGTGCTAATGCCGCTGAGCTAAATCCCCAGCCCCTGACTTAAATTCTTATATAAATTTTTATTACATATTACTTTAGGATGGTCTGTATTCGTTTGTTTTTTTTTTTTTCCTGAGTTAAGCTGGTACTTTGAGTATGATTTTCATATCAGTCCTGAGAAAGGCTTTTTACATTTATTACTTCTAATGTTGATAATAACTCAGCAAGGATTGCTCCAATTTCTACCTTTCAGGCAAATCAACTGTAGTTTAGAGGATTTAAAGAAATTTTTCAACTTACCTAATTAAGTCAATGGCAGGGGTTGGGATTGTAGTCCAGTGTACTTCACTCTAGAGCTCATATCATTTTCATTGGCCTTTGTTTGCTTGTACATTAATTTAAATTCTCACCTTGCAAATTATGTATGTATGTGGGTTAGAAAACAATATATGATCAAAATAAAGACCATCCATTCCAATTTTCTGTAGAACTTTATCATAAATGGGTGTCAGATTTTTCAATGGTTTTACTGCATCTATTGAGACGATTATATGCTTGTTTTTCTCCTAGGCTCTTTTGATATAGTGTATTACATTTACTTATTGTGTATGTTAAAACACTTCTGCATCTCTGGGATGAATCCTACTTGGTAATGGTTCATGATCTTCTTGATAATTTGCTGCATTCTATTTGTGAGTACCTTATTGAGGATTTATTTTGGCATATATTTATTAGGGAGATTGGCCAACAGTTCTTTTTCTTGTTTGTTTAATCCTTTTCTGACTTTGTTATTGGGGTAATACTTGCTTCCAAGAGTGACTTTGGGAGTACTGATCCCCTTTCAATCTCATTAAAGAGTTTGAAGATAGTGCCATAAGATATTCTCTAAATTTCTTATATAACTCAGCAGTGAAACCATTTGATAAAAGCCATCTATGGAAAAACAGCAGCCAACATCAGAATAAATGGTCAAAACCTGAAAGCTTTCATTCTGAAACTATGAATAAGATAAGTATGCTCATTATCAACACTCCGATTCAATATAATTCTGGAAATATTAGCCAGGACGACTACATAAGAAAGAATAAAAGGAATATATATATATATATATATACTAGAATAAGAAATTATTTGCAGATAATATGGTACTCTAAATGGAAGAACTCAAAAGCTCCACCAAAAGAGATCTAGATTTAATAACAAAGTTCAGCCACATAACTGGATACAAAGTTGACACGCAAACATCAATAGCATTTCTATATACAAATAACAAACTCAGTGAGAGAGAAATTAGGGAAATCACAACTATCATAATAGCTTTGAAAAAAAATGAAACTTTTAGGAGAAAATCTAACAAAAGAAGTAAAGATTTTTACATTGAAAATTACACTACATTGGGAAAGGTGATGAAAAAGGACATCAGAATTAGAAAGTCTTTCTTGCTCTTTGGGTAAGAAGAATGGACTTAGTGAAAATGGGCATACTCCCAAATTGTTAAACAGATTCAATACAATCCAAATCAAAACAACAATGCCACACCTCACAGAATTAGAGAAAACAATACTAAAATTTATTTGTAACTAGAAGAGACCTAGAATAGCAAAAGCAATTCCAGGCAAAAAAGGAATGCAGTGGGCATCACAAACCCTGACTTGAAATTATACTACAAAGCTATTATAATAGAAATAGTTTATTATTGGCAAGAAAAAAACAAAAACAAAAAAATCAAAAACAGACCCAAGCATCAATGAAACAGAATAGAAGTTCAGAAACAACTCCAAAAACACTCAACCACCTTATCTTCAACAACGAGGTCAAACACTAGAAGAAATCCTCTTTAATAAAGGGTGCTGGAAATACTGGCTTTCCACATGCTGAAGACTACAATCAGATCCATATCTTTTAGCATGTGGTAAACTAAAATCAAAATGTATCAAAGACCTAAATATTAAAACAGAAAAAAATCATCTGCTGGAAGATACAGTAGCCAGAACTATTGAAGACATAGGTATAGGCAAAGACTATGACTAAAACCCTGATTGCACAGAAAATGTTATAAAGAAGCAATGACTGGGATTTCATCTTATTAAACTCTTTCAAGCAACAAAAGAAGTCACTAATAGAGTGAAAAGACAACACACAGTGTGGAAAATTTTTTTCCAGCTGTTTTTCAGACAAAGGGCTAATATCTAGAATACATAAAGAACACAAAATTCATACCCTGCCAAATTTAAACTCCCAATCCAAAAATAGGCTTCTGAGATGAATAGATACATCCCAGACAAAGCAGAACAAACAGCAACTAAACATGAAAAAAATGGTTAATATCACTGGTCTTTCAAGAGTTACAAATTAAAACAACACTGAAATTCCATCTCACTCCAGAAAGTATGGCTATTCCTAAGACATCAACCAACAACACTGGCAAGGGTAATAGGGAAGAAGAAATCCTTGTTTATGGTTGGTAAGGTGTAGATTGATACAATCGCTGTGAAAAACAGTATGATGACTTCTCAAAAAATGTAAAACTAG